GTCGACGACTTGAGTAGTGCTCAAGACACCCAAGGGTCCTGAGAACAACCTAACCCTACGTGACTTGGTAGGATAGGTAGTTACCTAGCATTAATCTTCCGTGGTTGTACTCAAAATTCGTTCTCATTTAACCCAATGTGTTCAAGTGGAGATATTATGGAGGGACTATTTGAATTTGAATTGTCGCTTATGTAAAAATTTCTGTTTAATGAATGCGGATACATTTTAAGTAAATTCTAAATACTCGAGAATATTATATATTGTCTTTTTGCATTATTAACTTAAAGAATCACGATCACTTAGTACATGTAGAAATTAAAGATTCAATTTTCTTAGAATTTAATGATTAAATAAATATAAGATAATTAAAAATAAGAAGAAATTGATTGTACTTATTTAAATAAACCGTTCCCTCCACATATGATTGCGAGCTTCCTTTTTAGAGTTCAAGAATAAAAACTAGAATAATAGCTGTTCAGATTTTCATGAAATTGTTCTAAATAAACTGAAAATATTGTCTGTACCCAAAAAAGGGCAGAAATGAATTAAAAAAAATAAAGACATTAAGGGAATATTCAGAGAACGATAAAAATCAATAAAGCAACAATCAAAAACAATTGCTGTACATCGTGCAGGATTTAATTGATCATTCAACAGATAAATTTTAAAACTTGACAATAATTATTTCAAATATCTTATATAATCGGCAATCTGAGCAACTTCGCTCTTTTACACAGGGCAATGGACCCACCCTTCGACATATAAACACTAACATTGTTTGTGTGTTGGTTCTTAATCTTAGAGTTTTCTCGGTACAGATAATATTCTTAGCCGATTGTTACCACCACCAATTAACCGGGGTTATACTCAAAGAAAGGAAAGCCGTAAAAGGTCCCACCAATTATTATCAAGTTTTAAAATTTATCTGTTGAATAATCAATTAATTCCTGCACAATATACAGCAATTGTTACTGATAATTGCTTCATTTATTGTTATCGTTTCCTCAATATTCCCTCAAGTTAATGTCTTTATTTGTTTAAACTTATTTTTGCCCTTTTTTGGGTACAGACAGTATTTTCAGTTTATTTAAAACAATTTCATAAATATTTTAGCAGCTATTATTCTAGTTTTTATCCTTAAGCTGTAAAAAGGAAATTTGCAATTATATGTGGAGGGAAAGGTTTATTTAGATAAGTACAATCAATTTATTTTTCTTTTTAATTATCATGTATTTATTTATTCATATAATTTTAAGAAAATCGTATCTTCAATTTCTACATGTATTAATTATATTTGAGTAATCTTGATTCTTTATGTTAATGATGCAAAAAAAATTATCTAATATACTCGATAGTTTAGAATTTAGAATTTACTTAAAATTTATTCACATTTGACTATTCAAATTTTAGATATACAACAGTTCAAATTTAAATTTTCCCTGCTTAACATCTCCGCTTAAACATATTAGGTTAGACTAGAACGAATTTTAAGTACAACCACGGAAGGTTAATGCTAGGTAACTACCTATCCTACCAAGTCACGTAGGGTGAGGTCGTTCTTAGGATCCTTGGGTGTCTTGAGCACTGCTCAAGTTGTCGACCCAGGAACTTCCCCTAAGAACGTGATCGCTAACCCTAGTGCCTTGACTACTTGGGGATGCGTCGTCTCCATGCTTAAAGCGGTCAAGCACCGAAAGTTCAAGTAGGAACCTGTTAGTAGGAGTGTTACCTATAGGTGATATGAAAACTTATTTGTCAGCTCTTGGCCTTCGTACTTGGTCTCTTTCTCTCACCTTGTCTCTTTCTCTCACCTTGTGCTCGTTGCGGTAATGTACTGGTGCACGGAGAGTTCCAGGTCTGGGTCACTGCGGATCTCCGCATCCCAGGTCTGCTGGAAGAGGGAAGTCACGTAAAACACAATATCGTTTAAAATTTAACTTTTCTTATATTCATTTGCATACAAGCACAAGATAAAACATAAGTTAATTGACTAGTTAATTACAACCTTCTGAATGGCAGCACCAAAACAGGGGGCTTTAAGTATTTTACATGGAATTAAAAAAAAAATTAAAAATAAACTTTTTATTACAATTCCACGTAAAATACTGAAACCCCCCTGTTTCGGTGTTGCCACTTAGATGGTAGGTCCTAATTAGTCAATTTTTTCATGTTTAATCTTGTGTTGGTGAAGGAATAAATATAAAAAGCGTCAAATTTTGAACGTTATTGTGGCTTTTGTGATCTTCTAAGTGCAAAAACTGACTAGAAACAGACAAAAAAAAATTTTATCAGTTTTTATCAGACACTTGCAATTGGGCCAATACTTCATAAGCGTTTTCTTAAATAAATATTGTGGGTGACGTATACACAACTAATTATAAAATAAATTACAACTAGTTATGTCAGCGTACGTAACGTATACAAGATCAATAATACAGATCTCGTCAAAGACGGTAGTTGTTTTGATACAGATTTTATGACAGTGGGTACCCTCATATTAGCAAGGCTGGTAGCCTGGCAGCACGTCGTACTATATCCATAATTTGTGTTTTTCTTATTAACGTATTATATTTATTTCTATGGTTTATTTATTAAATATAAAAATGTTCATCAAAACCACATTCAATTGCAATTGCTTTACTCGAAGGAGAGGGGACCCTAAAGCCGGTTATTTATTCGGACAAGACGGAAAGGCACTACCATGAACAGAAATATGCGTCGATTTATTTTTTTAATGATAAGTTGAGTTTAATTTTATCACCCTTTAATAGATTAAAGGACTTTTTTATGAAAATGTAGCTGTACTTAAATCTAAAGGACTATTGAATTGGTATTTTGAGAACATAAAAATAGTAAACAATATAAAAAAATTTTTAAAGCAAATGTCTTACTCGTGACATATATTTTCTACTCACATTTACTCACTATCTAAAAAGAATTCAAAAAAATTAGTAAAAAATAATATCAGTGCAAATGAGATACCTGCCAAGCGACCCGCTTTGCCCTGCCCTCTTTGCTTTAACACACATTTTATATTTAAGAAATGCCTACCTCAAAAAATTTAAAACAAAACGCCAATACTTTTGGCCTACTTTAAACTTTAATGGGCTCACATTGATAGAAAATGATCGACTATATGATAAGTAGTTTTATTTTTGACTGATCACAAAATACATACCTCTAATTAAATTATAGATTTTTTTAAAATTGCGTATGATTATGATATTTCACTGTGAAACGGCTAGTATGGAACTGAGCAAAACTAGGAGATACTCGGGTAACCTCGACATACCCACACCTTGCCCTTTGCGTTTCATGCATTATCACACAAGCACCTACCTGCTTTAGACCACCTTCCCCTTCATATACTTGTTTTAATGATAATTGCACTATCTTTGTACGCAATATCATTTTATAGAAGGTATATTTATAATTATACATTGTCTGTCGTGAAATATTACAGAAGTTTAACTTCATACTTTGCTACCTTAAGCACCCACTGGTATTTTGCCCTTACATTGGTATCTGTCCTTATCCTGTTAATATTCCATTTATCATCTCATACTGTTTGCTACTCGATTCCTTCTTCTGTCAATTGAATGTTAGCTCTTTGATGTATATAATGCTTGAATCATTATGGTTAAGTTGTATTTATAATAATAACAAGTTACTTGTAGCGTACCTGGCGCTTTGTTTTGTGTCACTTATTCACGAGGAGTTTGCCAATCGTCCTCTATTTCAATCTGCCACTTGAATTTCGTATCTTTCTCTGTCCTGCTTCCTCCAATTGGTAAGTGTAATCGGCATCTCGTATCACTGCTATCTTGTGTACCGACTTTTTTCCCCGTTTACTCTTTGTTCGTGTTTTTATGATCTTGGATGCTTCATCTGTTAATATATTTTTTCTGAATGTTACCAAATTGTTAAGTCTCTTTTTATTAATGAATATATTTGGATTATTCACTCTAAAGTAAAAATAATCTTTACGTTACTGGTGCTCGGTAAGTGAAACGTATACGCACCACATTTGGAGGTTAAGAAGTGCCCTAGATTTTACATCAACTGCCTTTGGCTTCACTTTGGGCGTTTACTCATGTGAAATCTGTGAAATTTATAATCTTGCTTACTAGGTGCGTTACTATTGAAAAAATCTATCAGTCATAAGTAGAGCTCTTTATTTATCAACAAAAATTAATGAGCTCGTAGCTTAATAATAAAAATTATGATTACAAAAATAAATAAAGTCTAGAGATGTTTGTATACAATTCAAATCAACAACTTCTTATTTCTTAAAAATGCATTTGAGATAATAACATCAAAGTCATCACAAATTTAAGTGACTATGTTTTCAACAGTGAAATGTACAACATTTTATACCTGATCACTTAGTGGATTATGATCAGATTATTATTAAAAAACGTGTATTTGTAAAATTTCTATTAACTTTATTAAACACATTCTTTAATAAGCTTTCATTAAAATCGTTTCAATAATAGAACTAATAACTACATGTTTTAGTTATCAAACCACTAAAACTTTCCTGGCCAAAGTAGTTAACATATATATTTGTTGTTAAGTATATGATTTAAAGTTTCTAGTAGTTCAACGTATATGTGTTTTAAATAGAAGACAGATAGTAATTTGTGAAATATCAAAGATAAAGGTGAACAAAGTATAAAGCCAGATGTTAATAATAACTGTTATCTTACCCTATGAAATAAATAACGACTTAAAGAATTATGTGCTTATTTATTATGTGTCTTTTTGTAATCAATTGTCTTGCAATTATAAATAAAATAGAATATTATGAGTGAAGAAATGCATAGTAAGAAATACAATAGTATAATTTTTGATTTGTAATTATTATTTATAATAACCTTGCTATTTTATAAGCCTCATTAAACTTATTTATGCATATGACTTATAATAAGAAAATTGAATAGACTAACTCAAAAAGTATAAGTATTTGACTTTAAAAAAGAATGATGGTATCTTCTCAGCTAGGATATGGCTGTATGAGGATCTCACATCCCACCCGGTTCTACAATACTTTGCCTGGGTATTCCTACCAGTGTGCCTCACCCTCTTCAGTGCCGGCTTCGTCCACATTGTTGCTCCACAAAGCATCGGTTCAGGCATACCCGAGATGAAGACAATCCTGCGGGGCGTTGCGCTCAAGGAATACTTAACATTTCGTACACTTGTTGCTAAAGTTGTTGGACTGACAGCTACTCTCGGTTCAGGTCTACCACTTGGAAAGGAAGGTGCATATCAATCACAGATTTTAAATTACTTTTTCATTTGACAAACGTTAGTTTTTAAAAATGGGAAAACTAATGTTGTCCGTTCAAGTAGAATCACAAAAATTGTATGAAAAACCCAAAATACATCCTAGTAAAAGACACTTTGGCTTTTAATATTGTGAAATTTTTCCTTATGTTAAAATAGTCTCCGGTACATCAAAAATATTTTCATATTTCTCTTGAGTAACTGCAGAAAAAATTCTTCGTCAATTTAGTGTCATGAAACTTTCCCAGTTTTCTTTATTTGTGTTATTTAGTTGACCTTATGTGCAACTGATTTTACTATCTGCATCAAGTGAAGACAATCTCTAACTAACCAAGAAAATTTTTCAATTTTAAAATTTATTTACTTTTTTGCAGATATTAGAAACAACATACATATAACCTACTAACAATATTCATATTAACCTCCTTATTTTATATTATATTATTACTTATATTAGGTCCATTTGTACACATCGCCAGTATTGTAGCCACGCTTTTGTCGAAGCTAGTGACAGGCTTTCAGGGGATCTATGAGAATGAGAGCCGTAACTGTGAGATGCTGGCAGCAGCATGTGCCGTAGGAGTAGCTTCATGTTTCGCAGCTCCCATAGGTGGTGTTCTCTTCAGCATTGAGGTAACGACCGTATACTTTGCGGTGCGAAATTACTGGCGGGGATTTTTCACAGCTGTCTGTGGTGCCACCATGTTTCGTCTACTAGCGATCTGGTTCCAACGTGAAGAGACCATTACAGCCATGTTTATTACCAGCTTTACCATGGACTTCCCCTTTGATCCCCAGGAGCTCTTTGTCTTCGCTCTTATTGGTGTTGCCAGTGGTCTCTGTGGCGCATTCTATGTATGGCTTCACCGACAATATGTCTTATTCATGCGCCGCAACAAGAGCATGAACAATTTCCTCCAACAAAAGTAAGTTTAGCGTTGCTTATGTATAAGAAATCTAGCCGTTGTTTAGCCAATTGACTGTACTATCTTGTATTTCAGCCGTTTTTTGTATCCTGGAATTGTTTCGTTGGTTGTCTCTTCATTTTCCTTCCCTCTAAGTCTTGGACAGTACATGGCTGGAGTCTTAAACACGCACGACCAGGTCCATGGACTCTTTACCAATTTTACATGGACTAAACTCGATCTAAACGTAGAAGAGAGAAACATCATCAAATACTGGTCAACTGAACAGACTGATGTCTTCGTTGGTCTTCTGGGCTTTACAGCATTTACGGTAGAGTATACTTCAAAGGATACACATTTATAAGTGGTTTAAATCATAAGACTTTTTAAATAACTAAGTATGATTAATACTTCCATTTGTGCTTTATAGAGTAGAGAATAAATGTGACCTATATATTCAATGATTATACATTCGGTCACAGTAAAATCAAAAATATAAAACTATTGGTCTCTAACAAATCCAATTTCCATCTATTTCAGTTCATCTTTTCTATTATTAGTTCTACCGTGCCAGTACCATCAGGAATTTTTATTCCAGTTTTTAAAATAGGAGCTGCTCTTGGCAGAGTAGTTGGAGAAATCATGGCTCTTCAGTTTCCCCATGGCGTGCGGTATGGTGGTGTCATAACGCCAATTGTACCAGGTACGCTTTTTAATCTTTAATAATGAAATACCTATGTACAAAAAAAATAGTTTGACTTATACGAAAGATCTTTTTTGTCAGTTCCAGTCACTTAATAGTTGTATTTATATCTAATATGAAAAGAGAAAATAATATTTTTTTTTCTAGCCCAATTTTCAAGTATATGTACTAATTTTATAATTTTCTTGTAAACAGAAATGTAAAAAAAATTTTACTAAGTCTCGTTTGTGAAATCAAAACAAGGCCCTTTCATACAGATAGAGACAAACTTAAGACAAAGAATTATAAGTCAGATTTCTTACTATTTACTTGCCTTTTTTAGTTATTAATAATATGTGAATCACATCTACAAGAAAATGCTCAGAGCAGATAGTGTATTTGTCTAAAAATTAATAATCTAAGATTAAGCAATAAAATACTAAGTGAAAAATATTTTTCTTCAGTATTCTTGTATAATAGTACTATTCTGATTCATATGCGTTCAAAAATCTCTTCTTTCAAGTAAGATCTGGAAAAAAACTTTTAGATTTGACAGTTCTTCTTTTAGCTTTTTTCTACGTTTTAAACATTTTGTGAAGCCTACGTTTATGCTGTACAAGAATGATTAATCAATTTTATTACACACAATATGTAGGTTCTTATATGTATCCAGCAATGTAGGAGTATTGAGACATGAATTTAAATAGCTAACTGTGCCTTGGACCATCTACTATTTACGTTAAAGTAAAATAAGTCTTGAAATTAAAGAAAAACGTTTATTTTGGTTTCATACGACATATAAGTTATGGTTTTATTGGATATACATGTTTCTCGGCTATTGTTTGACCAAAAAATATTTTTATGAAAGCTGCTTTAATGATGTATAAATAAGAGATGTAAGACATAAATACGAGCATCAACATCCCTTTGATTTCAATCTTAAAAATATGTAGTCTCATTATTACTTTAGCTATGAGCCATATTTTATTGTATTGCTTAGACAGCTGTCTCGTAAAAACTATTAGCATGATACCGTGCAAGATATCCTTCACAAGAACTGATAGGATATGGTACGAGATTTCATGCCCAAATGCTTACATGATATGCTACTCGATATTAAGCAAGATTCCCAGCAACTGAAAAATGTGAAAGTATAAGATTTAACCTAAAGATTTAAAAGTTTGTCCTGTTTAAATGGTGTTGTTTAAGTTCCAATATTAATCCTTTCTGGAGCTACATACTGGATGATTAGACTTACGAGGTGTGATAAAAAAAAAAGGTGACTTTTGATTTTTATAAAACAATATTTATTTATTCATCTAAAGCTATGTTTTCCCCTTAAAATAATCCCCCTTAAATACAATGCACTTGTGCCAACGCTTTTTCCAGTCGTCAAAACACTTCTGAAATTCTATTTTGGGTATTGCTTTGAGCTCCGCCAGCGATATAGCCTTAATCTCCTCAGTCGTGGCAAATCTTCGTCCTTTCATGGGCTTTTTCAATTTTAGGAAGAGGAAAAAGTCGCTAGGGGCCAAGTCTGGTGAATATGGTGGCTGAGGCATGACGGAAGTATTGTTTTTGGCCAAAAAACTACTAACTAATAACGACTTGTACGCAGGCGCATTATCATGGTGCAAAATCCATGAATTTTCTTTCCACACTTCCGGTCGTTTTTTTCTTATGGATTCACGCAAACGCCGCATAACCTCAAGATAATTTTCCTTGTTTACCGTACGACCTTGTGGTAGAAATTCTGCACAACGCCATGGTAATCAAAGAAAACTGTGAGTAAAATCTTCACATTCAAACGAACTTGACGTGCTTTTTTCGGTCTTGGTTTTCCTGGACTGTTCCATTGAGGTTATTGGGCTTTGGTTTCTATGTCATAACCATATACCCATGATTCGTCACCAGTTCTAACTCTTTTAAGCAGATCCGGATCATTATTAACGTCATTCAACATGTCTTGGGCAATGTTCATGCAATGCTGCTTCTGGTCAAAATTAAGCAATTTTGGAACAAATTTCGCGGATACACGTCTCATACCCAAAACATCTGTCAAAATTGATTGGCATGAACCAAACAATATGTCAAGATCATCAGCTATTTCTCTAATCGTGATTCGACGATCTCTTAGCACCATTTTTTTACTTTCTGAACATTTTTGTCGGTGTTTGACGTGCTGGGTCGCCTAGGGCGAGGTTCAACATAAACATTTTCTTGGCCCTCTTGGAACAACTTATACCACTTATAAACACTTTTTTTGCTCATAGTTGACTCACCGTAGGCCACTGTCAACATTTCAAGAGTTTTTTAACACCTAATACCATTTTTACCACAGAAATTAATACAAACTCTTTACTCCATTATTTTCAACAACAAGAAATCGCCGAGTACACAAACACGAGTCTAACCTTTAAGTCTCTCACATAAAAACAACCCATGCTATAAAGTCAAAAATATGAAGAAATGATCGTGACAAGTGTTCCAACGTTGTAAAAACCAAATAAATGAATAAAATATAAAGGGAATTAAAAAAACAAACCAGGGGGGATAAATGGGTCATGGGACCCACGGTAAGAACGAAGTTCTTTAAACATGACATGAGTATAAAAACTTCATCGGTGGTTTCATAAGGCGAGTTACGCAATAGCTCATTTTGTTATGAGGGGATTGCTGAGAGAAAGTTGTTACCACGATTTAAATAAACAAGGTAAAATAGGTATAAAACTTTTAAGTAATTTCTAAATCATTAAAATCAAGAAACTAATGACTTAGTAAGTTACGTCTTTAGGGTGCAAAGTGCAGCTCAAGGGCAAAAAGTTGCAAGAAACTCTTACCTAAAAATTTTTGTGTACATAATGCTATATTGTACTTTATTAGCGCAAGGCAGAAAAGAAAGGGCGTATTATAAGATTAATGAGTCCGATAAAGATCGAGCGTATTATTTGTCTCGCGCTCTTCAGATAGGGGTTTGGATTACTCAATCACGAGAAATGTATTCCCAGCAAAGTATTTTTGCAAAATATTATTGCAAAGTGCCCAGTTTCGTTGTCAAAGATGTTTGTGAGAAAGAAAAAGCTGACAACCTTACGGTCTTTTTTGCGATCTTATGTCCGTGACAGCGAGAGTTTTCAATAAATTTATATCGGATTCTAAAAATCTAAAATTTTTGTTATGAATAAATTATAAAAGTATTCCTAGTACATTATATCCAATTAGTAAATTGCCTTAGGTTATGGATAAAGTTTGCTTTTGATGCTTTATCGTTACAGGGGGCTTATGGTACATGACACTGAATACAATTGATAAATTACGCAATTCTGCTATAAATTATCTTAAATATATAATCGCTAAAGAGTTAAGATTACTCTAAGATGCTTTCCGCTTTCAAAAATTTAGAAAAACTTGGTGCTTTTTTGCTTCGCNGATACATTTTTTTTTTTTATTTTTTTTTTATGAAGGTTTGTAAAAGAAAAACTTTTTTAAGTTAAATTAAAATTGTTGTGAGAAAATAATGTTAAAATTTGTTTGAAAATTAATTGCTTGGGAGTGTGAGGGGGAATGGTGGGCAAAGGTGTGCAGAAGAGTAACACGGCATGGTTGGTGAGGGGGACGGGGTAAGGGGGGAAACTTGAGAGGGAAAGAATTCGGGTAAACCACTTCCATTTCAAAAAATCTGTCGGTTTTAAAATTCCAGCCCCCCGAGTACGCGACATAAAGAACTTCGTTCTAAAAAAATGGTTTAACTTAGAGTGTAAAGAGCGCGCGCAATTCGAAAGTTCACCTTTCTTTTGATCACACCTCGTATACTGGGTCCATTATGTAGATCTCATCTGAATTCATTGTGTTCGCAGCTGTAGATCCAGTATGGATTCATATTGACTAGAGTACTGGATTATATTACGTGATATACCTAGCCAGATCAAGCAGTTTGCTTTAATGTTTACTTCGATTTGTTTGTATAAATTAATATAGAATAATAAAATCTGAATTAAATATCGTAAAATTACTATTTGTTGAACAGTAGGTCTTACGGTATCAGCATGCTTAAAGCCTATGGCATTGTACTAAGCTAAGCAAATAATTAATACTCAATTTTTAATTNAAATATTTTTCTCTCTCTCTCTCTGCTCACTCTGCTTGCGTTGACAAATGTGGAGCGTATACTGGGCACATGATATTTTTTTTCTTTTCTTTTCAGAAAAATAAAAGAAAGTGTGGGAATATTTTCTTCTCTCTCTCTCTGCTCACTCTGCTTGCGTTGACAAATGTGGAGCGTATACTGGGCACATGATATTTTTTTTCTTTTCTTTACAGAAAAATAAAAGAAAGTGTATGAATATTTATTTTTCTCTCTTTGCCCGCGCTGCTTGAATTGACAAGCGGATATCACACACTTTGCTTCGTATGCAAGTTCTGAATTTTTTTTTTTACCACTCTTATCTGACAAGCTGTGCAGTGAATAGTAGTTATTATTATATTAATTATCATGAGATATGTAAAGTAACGTATTCAATATGAATCCGTTATGGATCTACTGCGCGATAGATCTACACTAGATCCAGATAATGGATCCAGTCTGGATCCAATCATCATTACACCTTAACTTAGTCTCTATTCAGTTTGGAAATTACCTTTGATACAAATGTATATTTTTTTATTTAGTAAATACCACCAACCGCCTTTGATAAGCTTACAAAAAGGATTTACATTTTTAAAGTTAGTAATGAATTGTTAATAAACGTTTCATAAATAAACATTTAATATTTTTTCATGTCTGTTAATATGTTTGTCAACAATATATCTAGTAGTTATTCTTACGACTACTTACCATGTGCCAATTTTACTGAAACATTACATAACTTCCTCATCCTGAAGAAAAGTACTTTATTATTAAGAGTGTAATAAATTTATTACACTTTTTCCAACAAAGTTTCACATTATTTTTTCTTCTTTAGATACATTAATAATAGTATCGAATACTGGCAAAGAAGAATTTCTATCACTACTAGCCTTCT